TTTTCATTGGAAATGGATAAATACAAAACATAGTTTACATAAAATGAAGCCAAGCTAGCTAGCTAGCAACCATATTAACCTAATCTCTCCTACTAGCTAGCAACCATACTAAACTAAAATCAATAATGGAAAAACACATTAAGACAAAGGAAAATTCATTGGCCAAAGACATAGTTATAATCATCAAATTTCAAGAAAGAGGCCAATTAAGGACATCATCATACAAGATATCAGGAATATGGACACCTAGTTGATGAGAATCAAGGGTTGATGATAGTGTGACATTCTTTTCTGAATCATCAAAAGTGAGACCAGAGAGGTAATAATCATTAGCAGAAGATGAAGGAGGAGGAGCATGAACAATCTCTTCCTTGCACTCCTTTTTCAATGATGATATTGATGAACTTGATGGATAAGAAGGTGATGAGAGAAAAGGGCAGTCTTGTTTGGCTGGTGTTGGAAAAGAGTTGTCAAAGCTAAGGAACATGGAAGAGTGATGAGAAGGAGAAAGTGATGAATCCACTATGATCTCAGGACTTTGTAAGATTCTACAAGTGTGATGGCCATAGTAGGTTGTTTTGTAAAGAGGTGGATCCTCTTGAAGTTTTTGTACTTGTTTTATTGCTTTGCATCCTTGTTCAATTTTGTGAGTGCACCTGTAGTAGTTCCTGCACAATACAAGCATATGAATCCAATTAGGTTCATAAGACAGAAGAGATCCATCTAACACGGACGCTTCAGAAAAATGGCGTGTCACATCGACACGACACCGGCACTTATAAATTATGAAACATTGACACTTCAAATACGACACCGACACAAAAATATTAGTAATAATTTGAAAATTAAATAAATTAAAAATAATTATAAATGTCAGTATAGGTGGCCACAGACACGTTATTTTTCACAGATGTTAGTGCTACATAGCTTATAAAACATACCTTGGGAATTTGGTGTTGAGGATAGTTTTTTGGCCATACTTTCTCCATTGATGACCATCTTCCACTTGATATTCAGACTCCTTCTCCCATGTTTGTGAAACTTTTCTGCCAAATAAAAAACAACATAGTCCTTTCATGATAAGTTGTTGATATGATGATGATAATAATGAGGAACAATAATCGATAGGTCCAATATTACTCATATGTAAGGGACAAATAATAACAAAAGTATTAATTAACTTTTAATTATTAGTAATCATGGCAAATAACAAAGTATACATTACCTCATCTAAAGTTCAAATATAAGTGAAATTATAAAACTCACACAAGAAATAAGAAGAGAAAAATAAATAATAAATAAAATAAAAATCATCCAAATATACTAAACCTAATTGGGTATGAAAAACCATATGCTTAAAAATCACCCCTTTAAATAGATCTGTTATAGATCTGTATATATAGTTTTCTTTATCAGGTGAGTATCAAGATTCTAAACCTAATGATGACATCTAATTAAGCAATATCAATTTCTACCCGTTGAATTAGAATTTGCCGACAAATTATATATAGGTTTATCCAAGAAATGAAAAGTGATATGTGAAAGAAAAATTAGTAACTAGTAATAAAAATAAAATTACGTAATTACCTTCTTTTGTAACAGCCTCTTCTTTCCTTAACAATGGCAGTACTCTTGCAATTACTCTCAAGAGAATCTTCAGATTTGGTGAGTTGAACATCCTGTGAAGTTTGAGTATTGTTCAAGAACAAAAGTGAATTGGTAAAGGTCATAAGCACTTCCTTCAAAAGATGTTCAGCAAATGGTGCTGTTGATCCATTACTATCATCAATATCACCACTTTCATTGAGAATATTTCTTAGTTGATTTGCAAGTTCACGTCCTCTTAATAGCTCATCAATCACCTTTCCACGACCATGACCTAGATTTTCATTTTCCATTTTTGAAGATTGAATCTAAGGTAGATTTTGGTTTGGTTTTGCTGTTACACTCTTTTTTGTTGTCTATCTCAAAATACACACACACAAACACTGAACTCTTATATAAATATATAGGTGTAAATGTAATAGGGTTTTATATTTTTATGAAAGAAAAAAACAAAATGAGAAAACAACTTGGTGTTATATTATTATAAAATAAAATTAAAAAAAGTTGTTGTTATATTTGCACATGCTTCGAAGTTAAGTGGAACCATGGTATGAAAATTCAAACCCTTTTAACATGTTACTTAAACACGCACGCGCTGCTTGAGAGCGTATTGCGCACAGCGGTGGAGGATTTATAGCGTGTAACGTGTATGGCTTTGGCTACTTCTGTGGAAGATGGAAAACAGGATGGCGCGTGGGTACTGAATCTAATGGAATTGCGATGACGTCATAGAGGGAATAGTGATTGACGTCATCAGACAGGTGGAGTTTGTTGATTGGTTTTAGCGCTAGTGACGGTCGCCAATGGCTGACCTGGTGTCAAACTGAAATGACGATTGTACCCTGGAATCGGATTTTATGCAATATAGAAGAAACATTGAGGTACAGACAAGGAAAGAGTAGATTAAGAAAAATTGGGTGTGCTGTAACCTTGGATAAGTATCAAAATGGAAAGCATCTATGTGAGATTTATAAATATAGATTATTATTTAAGAAAAAGTATATTAAAATAAATAAATCAAACATATGATTTAATCACATTTATAAATTTTACTTGAAGGTGGGGATTTTGAAACTCAAAGATTGTACACATATAGATCAAGCTAAGGGAACACATAGAGGAATAAAAAACTACACTTAAATATGAGACACTACATATTTTAATAATGGAGAATACAATAATGTATTATTTGAGTAAATAGTCGCATGAGACAAGAAAATTTATAGGTCATAATGATATGGCTAGTAGAATATTTTTCTTTAAAAATACCATACTTTTTAAATTTCAAAATATTCATTCACAAAATCAAATTTATTTTACGCAATTTATCTTTTTTTTATTTATTATTTTTTTTATGTATTTCTTAGACTTTTAATTTAATTTCTCATATTCGTACTATATGCTCTTTGGAGTAATCGAGAAAATGGTAATTGAAAGACAAAGTTCTTCCCTCGTCACAAATGTTTAAAAAGAAAATTAATGTTTTTTGAACTAAACTTTTTTTTTTTATGTTACCAATTAAAGAAAATGTTTTTTAATTTATCACTTTCCTCGATTGAAAATATTAAAAAATTTATTCCTAAACATTCTGTAAATTGCAAATGTAGAAAAAATTTGAAAAAAATATTTGGTCAAGATAATAAAATCTCTCTGGGATAGATTGTAAGTGCAGAAAAAAATTCTCTAGGTATAAATAGATAACTTATCATAAATTTCAAAAATAAAATTGTTCTCCAAGAATTCATTGTCAAAATTTGAATTTGTTTAAACAATTTATTTAATATTATGTGTAAACATTGTAATTTAAAAAAATATCTTTTCCCTCGTTTTTTAGTAGAAACTGAGAGGTATTTGGTACTTGGGATGAAACATATTTTATCGTATTTTTTATCTAAAAAGAAACATATTTTACCTCAGTTTTTATTAATAACCGATGTAAAATATTTTATTAAGGTAAAACATAAGTTCGTTTCTTCATCGTTTTTAAACAAATATTTTTCGTCCATTTAATGAGTATCGACGCTCAAGACACACTATTAGTGATCCTCGTGAAATCTAAAAATCTCATTGTAAAAGTATTATGAATATTAAAATTTGATAGTAGTGAATCCACAAGAAAATCATTGTTGTGAAATTCAAACGTATATAATTGTATATTGAAACGATAAAAAATATAAAATAAAACATGAAATATAAGTTTTATATATATATATATATATATATATATATATATATATATATATATATATATATATATATATATATATATATATATATATATATATATATATATATATATATATATATATATATATATATATATATATATATATATATATATATATATATATATATATATATATATATATATATATATATATATATATATATAAAATATCTCCTCGGTTATAAATATAGTCGAGAGGTAAAGTGGGACCTTTTAAAAATAAAAATTTTGAGTTCAATTTTTCATTTAGATGTGTTTTGTATGATGTCAAAACTAGGAAACTTTAGCGTTTATTTACATTCGACGGTATCATCTGATTCTAGTTGTGAATTGTGCATTTTAGCATTAGGAAGCATGTCAACATATTTGGAAATGGTTATAAAATATTCAGGCATTAAGAAAAGATTTTTATATAGGGTTCATACAAGGTGTGTAGGGTTCATACAACTCAAGAAGTTCAAGGAGAACCAAAGGATCAATCAAAAGATCAAAAGGAAACTTAAGAAACCCTAAAAAAGTCATATACTTTGATTATGGATAATCACAACATGAAATAATCCTTTTGGAAATTTCTCAATATAAATGAAAAATAGACATAAGCATGAACATTTTACAAAAAGAATGGGCTAAAAATCATTTATGATGAGGAAGTTATGACAAGTTGAAGTTGTGAAAAAAATAAAGAAATCAAGTGGCAAAAATAAAGGGAAATGGTCACCATGGGTGTTGAACTCACGCTGCTAAGGTTACAACCTAAAATACTAGCCAAACCAGCCAATGTGCGCTTTGTGATAATTGATGGGAGCATACAATAATATATGAATCTTTTTATAAAAGGAAAAGAAATGAAAAGTACTAGAGCGAGGGGGATTCGAATCCCAGTTCTCTTGCTCAAACATACACACGTGCGCAGGCTTCTAACTACTAGGATGGTGATGCATCCATTGTATCACCCCACCTATTAAAACATAAGCCTAATGATGGCCTAAAACCTTCCCTAATGTCCATGGCTGAACAAATCAACATTCAAAGATCAGCTTGCAAAAGCTACCATATCTCACTCAAAACTCCATTCAAATGGATAATGTAAAAATCAATCTTGCCTAATTTTTCACAAGGATCAGAGTGGTACCATTGGTTTTGTCTAAAAGTTCTTCTAAAGTAAAACACGATAGAATAACCTCAAGTGGCTCAAAATTTCAATTTCCATGGAATAATCTCATTCAAACATGATAAGCAGCAATAAATGGTTCCAACACATCATATTCAACATACCAAACATGTTTATGACTAATGCACATCAAAGCATATCATGGTTTTAAAAGTCCAATTTCAAAGTGAACTTACCTCTTGGAGCAAACTTGATACTTCCACAACAGTTGATACAGAAATGTTTTGATGCTTTGGACACCTCAAGTGGGTCTCTTAAGAAGCTTTGGAGTGCTTAGAAACAACTGGAAATACTTGGAATAGAATATCACTTCCTTCTTGCAAAATGAGGAAAATAGACAAAATGAAACTTCAAGTAAATGAAGTTACAGATGCAAAATCAAGTTTGGAACAGTTTAAGGATGGTTTATGGGATGAGTTAGAAGTGTTAGAGTGATTAAAACTGGTCTGGATGAGGATTTGGCTTGATAAATGCAAAAAGTCAACAAAAAGAGGTTTTTGAGTTTGACTTTCTGGTTTAACAGGTTTGGAGTGAGGATGAAGGTTTAGACACCTTCAAGGGGTGATTTGTGAGGTGTTTAAATAAGTGTTTAAGTGGCTTGTGTTTGGAGAAGACAGATTGAAGGTTTGTGCAAATTAAAGTTTCTTGGTACAAAAGGAGGTTTTGTGCAAGATGCTAACTTTGATGGTTTAGGATATGCTTTCTCTAGTTTTTTTCTCCTCCCTTGAAGCATGAATTAGATTGTCACTCATATTATGGCGTATCTCCGAAGAAGTCTCAAAGAGAAGTATGATGAAGTCTATTTTTGTCAAATGGATATCTCCCCAGTAAATCTCGGTGAGAAGTTTGACGAAGACCATCACAGATTGTGTCTCTTTATTTGAGAAATCTCTCCCGTAAGATAACTAAGCTACATCTCCCCAATGATTCCCGATGAAGTTATTGATCCAGCAAGTGATCATCTTTTCCAAAACTTGTTATCTCAACCTTTTCAAGAGAAAGACTTGATAAGAAGAAACGAAGACCAGTTCCATGGATGAAAAAAAACAGGATCGAGGGGAAGTGTATTTCAAAAAAATAAAGACCAGTTCCATGGCTAAAAAAAATCAAGATCGAGGGGAAGTTTATTTCAAAAAACAAAGACCAGTTTCATGGCTCATGACTAAAAATGCGGGGAAGTTTTACCCTTTCCAAGTAGGATTACTTAGTTAAAGAAGATGAGTAAGCATGTTTCGACAATAGGAGCTTGTTACCATTTAAATTATCAAAATCATAGTCGTGTCCCTCAGCAGAGTTGTCATCTCACCAATCAGTGAAGATACTTTCTTATTTCCCAACAAACTACATCCTTAATCTTAATTTCTTTCCCCAGTGAATAATTCTTTAATCCCCGGCGATTCGAATTATTATTAGTTTTCTATGGTGTCATCCTCACAAGTCTTATGTCTTACATTCACAAGCATTACATCATCATGGTATCTTAGGATCCAAAATTCGTGCATTCTTAGTTGTATTTAAGTCTCTCCTATCTGGTCGAAACTAAGATATTAATCTTCACCTCTCCAGATAGGAGAACCTTAAATAGGGACATCTGTCATACCTTAATTTTTAACCCTAAGATCCCACATCATTTTCATTTCATTAGCATCATACATGTGTATACTTTTATGCATCACTAACCTATTTGGATATATAAAGATTGTTGTTTGTTTCATTTGATTACCAATTAGGATTTAAGCCTCAAAAGAAGCTTAGTAAAAATATCAATCAATAATGGGCATGATCTTCAACTTACAAAGTCCTTTATTCATCCATGAAGATCAACAGTTTCCCTTCATCCAGAATCAAGCACCAATATCACCAGTGCACCAAAATTAAGGTTTTTACCTAATTCAGTCCCTGAGTTGACTTTTGGAGCAAGGCATGATCCAATGCCTTAAGATATGTTTCAAGGACCTCAAATGCCTTATATTAGTTCATTCATATTATTGGATTGATCCAAATAACTTGATTCACAAGCAATGCACGAATTCAAATTCATCTGAGCCACAAACTAGGATTTTTGATGAAAAGTCAATTGTACCTTTGACTTTTGACCAAGACATGATCTCAAACCTTGGGACATGATTCAAGGCACTCAAAAACACCCTTAGAGACCATCCATAGTGTTCAAATAGGCCAAGGGTTGGATTTCAATAAGAGATCACAAAATCAAAGTTCATCTGATATAAAAGTCAACTGTGCCCAAAAATCAAGTTTGACTTTTGAAGTTTTTGGTCAACCATGGTCTCTTCAAGTAAAGAACAATGTTAATATGTGGTTTGAATCATAATTGATCAAGAAAAATCAAGAAAAAGAGGTTACTTGTAAAAAGGGCAACCATGCAGAAATGAAAATTTTCCAAGTTAAGGAAAAAAAATTCTAATTTGGTGCAAACTTTGCTAAGGCATAACTTTTAAACCAAGAAACTATTTTATTTGATCCAAAGACCAAATTTAAGAGTTTGTTACATACTACAACTTTGTCACTTAAGGTAGATACTCAAAAAGTGCATAGATTTTGAGATATGAAGCCATGAAGTTAGGGTTTCAAGACTTTTTGAACCTTGACACTTAGAAAATTTTGGACAGAATCTGTTTTGTGTTTTAGCCAACTTTGAGGCCATTTTTTTACCATGACCCACAATGATCCAAGGTAACCCTCAAACATCAAAGTTAAATAACAACATCTCAGCTTACCGAAATGTCCAAGAACATAATATAACTCCATTTGAGCAAGGAGATATGAATTGCACAATAGGCCTTGATGCAACTGTTTTTGCAAGGCAGATTTGGCGTTTTCTTGTACCACACAATTTGAAGTGATTACACAAAACTAATGTGCACTAAATTCAACAGAAATATTTGTTAGTCATGTTGAACCTGTAAGATAGAGTCATTTGATCATGAAGATTCCCTTTGAAAGTGGAAGAAATCCTTGAATTCAATGTGCATTTATGTGGAATAGTGCATTGTCAAAGAAACCACTCTCACCAGTCAAAATGCTCTCTTAAATAATAATAAAACCATCTGCAGAATATGGAATTGGTCAAAAGCAAAGCTAGTCTAGTGGAAGAAGATAATGTACCTTGGATAAGAAGTAATGATGCATTGCCAAAACCATTGAACATTGAGCTCGTCCTTCAACCATCATTATTCCTCCCAAAAAAACTTGCACCCCTATAAACAGAGACCATATTTGATCATTCAAAGTACGCCAAAACAATCACAATACTTGTTTTCTCATTCTTCCTATTTCACTTCAAGTTTTCAAAATTCCAAAGAGTGAGAATCGAATTTTCAAAGTCTGAGTTTATCCACTCAAAATTTTGATTCAAACACTTCACATACATCATGTAGAAGTGATATAAACACTTAAACACTTTCTGTAACATCAAGTTCATCAAGATCACATCTCACCTTGATCAAGTTGTAGTTGGTTTCGAGCCAAGCAATCTAGGAGGTTTCAACTTACATTAAGCATCTCAATCAACCTTCCCTTAACATTGTCTTCCAAGGCAACCCCAATTCTGACCTCTTTCTTTGCTCATCAGTACCCAGATTAACAATCTTAATATCTTTCTGATATGAATGAATGACCTTTACCTCCTACTTTAACAATCTGGTCAACTCCTTTGGAAGTTCACAGTCGTCTTCAACGTCTTCTTCAGCTTGATAGATCGGATTGTTAAAGTCATACCGAGCCATAGAAAAATCATTATTGATGGAATCTGGAATGATGGATCTACAGGATAGATGTTTTATGCTTTATTCAGAATGAGAAACAAAAACAAAAACAAACATTGCCAGCTTCTAAAATGTAAAAGAATAAAATGAAAAACAAGGAACATAATATTTGAAAGCAAAAATGTCCTTTATTCATGATAATCATTGTAAACAAAAACACGAGGCCCTACATATGGATCACTACGTCTTGAGCAAAATGTAGGACTTGACAAGTGCAAAACAAATAAAATTACTCTTCAAGAAGAGTGACTTGAACATTATCTTCATTAGACTAGTTGTTCAGTGTCTGCCCTGGAACACAAGGGTGAATCAAGTTATCAAAATCACAATTATTGTCAACATCGTCTCCATCCGCAACATTAATATGATCACAAATAATCCCAATACTTGAGAATCTGATAGGAACCTGATGGTTATGAACCCTTGGTGATGCTTGAGAAGGCTTATAGCCCAGACCAAACCTGTCCATCTTCACCGACACATCGAGGACCTGACCCCATCCCTTGGAACTACCAGCTTCTACTACCGCTTGAGCTTCTTTCAATGAGCCATAGAAGAAGATTCATGCTTCTTATCTCCCAGGGAGGCTAATTCTGGATTTTAATAGCTTCAAACGCCTGGCATAAAGTCTCGTGGATCTCTCTTTTTCTAGTTAACAGGATGAAAGAGATGAGATAATTTGCTGATTTTATAAAGGAGGTTAGGCTTAATAATATGCCTTGCAAGGGTAACATCTTTAGTTGGTACAATGGCGACGGGAAGTCTATGAGTCGTTTAGACCGTTTCCTTGTGTCTGGAGTATTGATTGATAGGTGGGGTATAGTTGGTCAATTAACTGATAAAAAAGAGATATCAAATCATTGTCTAATCTGGATTATGAATAATAAAGAAGATTGGAGTCCTAAGCCATTAAGGATCCTCGATTATTGGTTTGATAGTAAAGAATTAATCGGTTTCGTGGAGAAAGAGTTGAAGAGTTTGCAGGTAGAAGGGAGAAGAGTTTATATGTTGAAGAAGAAATTCAAGATTCTTAAAGGGAGCCATAGAATGTGGAATGCAAAGGTGTTTCATAAAATTAATCTAGAGGTCAAAGATGAAAACAAGGTTGAGTTGAATTTTATTGATGCTTTGCTTGTGAGTTACAAGGAGGATCAATTGAAGGGTTTGGTGGAAGTTAGACACTCAAGAAATGATCGTCATTCAGAAATTTAGTTTGTCTTGGAGAAGAGACGGTGACGTGAACAACTCTTTTTTTTAATAATTTTTCTAAAGATCAAGGTAGACGCAACTTTATCAGTTCCATATCCTCGTATAGTGGGTTAATCGAATTGGTAGAGGAGGTCAAGGAGGAGGTTATGAGACATTTCTCTGCTAAATATTTGGAGCTTGTTCATTGTAGGCCGAACTTAGATGGAATTGAATTCAAATCTCTTTCAGACATTGAATCTGCACTTCTCAAGGTAGAGTTCTGTGATGTGAAAATTATAAGTTCCATGGTTTAAGGATTGACAACAATTTTTCTAAAACATGGTTCACAACATGATGTTGTGTGTGATGTTGTAACATGCTGATAAACTCACTGGAGAGAAGATGTCCTAATAGATGTTGTAACATGTTATACCAAAACATTTCTTCTGGCTATTTTAATTGTTGACAATTTTTTTTAATTCTGTGACACTTCTTTTGGAATATAACTCAGTAATTTTCGCAGGTCAAGAAGGTTTTATCAAGAACAAGTTTATGTATTTCCAGCTATGCACAATTTTCTAAATTTGGATGGTGAGACTTTTTAGGAAACTCTTCCTGTTATTATGTAAAAGGTTTTCCAGATGGTATAAAACTGACATAATGGAATTGATTGAAGAATCCAAGCCCATACTGCACGATTCTATATAAAGAAACTGACTAAACCTAAAATAGTGTGTGGTATTATTGAAAAATAAATTATGTGTGCAAATAAGGGTTTAGAGTTTGAGTTTTCTTTTAGTGTGTTGTTGTATTGTGTGTTACTCATGTACCTTATGATACCTTGAGGTAGGTTGTGTGTGAGCCATTTATTCATCACCTAGATGCTTGATCTGGATTGATGTTATTGAGTTGTAAGTGTCCACACTAAGCTTTTAAGCAAGAGTGTGTTATACTTGATTGAAGCTTTTAAGCAAGATCAAGTATTGTCTTTGAAGTGTGACTTCTTTTGATATATTGTTAATTCTATCACTGCTGATTGTGATTGTTAGGAAGTGAGAGGGAATTCTCATATCTAGGAGTGTCTTAGGTAGAAATTGCATTGGGTAGGGAGTAAGTGAGATGTTGTAAACTGGGACAGTTAAGCTTTGAATTGATACTACTAATAGTGGATTTCCTTCCTGGCTTAGTAGCCCCCAGACGTATGTGTTGTTGTACACCGAACTGGGTTAACAACTCTTTGTATTTTGTTATTTTCTGCATCTTTAACTGTGTTATATTTTTTCCTTGTGTTTTAAACAGATATTAGTGTCTCAACATCTATTAGGACATCTGATATCTGCATATCAGAATTTCAATTGGTATTAAAGCAGGCATCCTGCTCTGTATCTGGGTGAGATCTATGGAAGATACTTTTTGGTACAATGGATAAGGAAAGGAGATTTGTGAATAGACCACCCATTCTTGATGGAACAAATTATGACTATTGGAAAGCACGTATGGTGGCCTTTCTTAATTCTATGGACATCAAGGTTTGGAAGTATGTGGTTAAGGGATGGGATCCTCCAATGGTTAGAGATAAGGATGGTAATATTACTAATGTGCCAAAGGCCGAGGAAGACTGGGATGATGAAGATGACAAGCTAACTCTAGGAAAATCCAAGGCGTTGAATGCCCTGTTCAATATAGTGGACAAGATTATCTTCAGACTGATAAATAATTATACTATTGCTAAAGATGCTTAGGAGATTTTGAAGACTGCACATGAAGGAACCTCTAAGGTAAAGATGTCAAGACTTCAACTTCTTACCACCAAGTTTGAGGACTTGAAAATGAAGGAGGATGAGAGGATTCTTGATTTTCAGATGAATATTATTGAGATAGCCAATGCCTCAAGTGCCCTGGGGGAGAAGATGTCAGAAGCTAAGTTAGTCAAAAAAATTCTTAGATCTCTCCCAAAAGATTTGACATGAAGGTAACTGCCATGGAAGAAGCCCAGGACATAAACAACATAAAATTTTATGAACTTATGGGATCTCTTCAGACCTTTGAATTATGGATCAGTGAAAAGTCTGAAAAGAAGAAAATCATAGCCTTTGTGTCTAATGTTAAAGACTCAGAGGGTAAATATGACCTAGATACAAATGAAGGTATATCTAATGCTATTGTGCTCCTTGGGAGGCAATTCAACAAGGTTTTGAAAAGGATGGACAGAAGAGGAAGATCAGGTGTCAAGAACATCTCATATGACATCAAAAATACCAATGACTCCCAAAAGAATGTCAGGACTGAAGAGAAGTCGAATCAAAGCAAAGGAATACAATGTTATGAGTGTGAGGGTTTAGGCCACATCAAGTCAGAATGTCCCACCTTTCTCAAGAAATATAAAAAAGGGCTATCTGTATCATGGTCTGATGATGATGAGTCAGAAGATGAATCTAACTCTGAGACTGTTAATCTTGTAACTACTCTCTCTAGTGGATGGGCTGATGAAGAAGAATCTTGTGCGGATAGTTTCCTCTATGAAGACTTGGATATTTCTTACAAGGAAACCTGTGATAAGTGTAAAAAATCTCTTAAGACATAAGAGAATCAGAGGAAGATCATAGCTGAACTGGAGAATGAGAAAAAGGAGCTTCAATGTATGGCTTATTTACTGCAAGATGAAGTAACCTTCCTGAACTCTAAGCTTAATAACATGAAAGACTCAATAAGAAGGATAAACAATGGATATGATGTGATGAAATATTATGAAGATGCAAGAGGTGATCAGCAAAATAATATGTATGTAGAAAAGTTCTTCCCTGTTGAAAGGAAGAAGATGATCACCATGTCCATCCACATGATACAACATCCTGCCGGACATGATGTATCTTTAACAAAATCTCAATCATCAATTTGGAGGTGTCATTACTATGGTGAGTATGGTCATATTAAGCCTTTTTTTGCTATAATTTGTATGAAGTACAACAATCTTCAACTCGTTCTAAGGTGAATCAATTAAGGAAGAAGATAAGGTCCATCAACAGGAATGTGAATCCTATAGCTCACACCTCCTTGAAGACTCCAACTAGAGAAGACTGGTACTTTTCTAGTGGATGCTCTAGAAACATGACAGGGATGTAGAGGTTGTTGGTGGATATTAGGTTTCATCCCTCAGGTGCTGTTAGATTTGGCGATGAATTTAAAGAAGAAATTAAAGGAGTGGGAAGATTGGTGTGTGTCGGTTCTCCTAATTTAGAATATGTTTTTCTTGTGAATGAATTAACTGGTAATCTTATTAGCATTATTCAGCTACGCGATCAAGGTTTGCTGGTGAATTTTTCAAAGTTAGAATGTTTAGTCAAATATGAGAAAGATGTTATTCTAATGATGAGTTTAAGGTCTAAAGACAACTGCTATTTATGGGAACCTCAGATAATAACTTATTCTTCCACATGTTCTATAAGCAATGGGGATGTAGTTAAGTTATGGCATCAGAAGCTTGGACATCTCCATCTCAAAAGAATGAAGGAGATAATGTCAGAAGGAGCCATTAGAGGAATGCCAGAACTTAAGATTAAAGAAGGGAAAGTTTGTGGTGAGTGTTAGATTAGAAAGCATGTCATGATGTCTCACACAATGTTGCAACATCAGACTACCTCCAGAGTGCTAGAACTTCTTCATATGGATTTGATGGGACCAATGTAGATAGAAAGCTTGGGTTGAAAGAGGTATATATATGTGATTATAGATGATTTTTCTAGGTTAACGTGGATGAAGTTTATTAGAGATAGATCAGATATGTTTGAAGTTTTCAAAGATCTGTGTACAAGTATTCAAAAGCAGAAAAATAGTGTGATTGTAAAGATTAGAAGTGACCATGACAAGGAGTTTGAGAATGTAGGATTCTCAGAGTTTTGTGATTCTAAAAATATTAGTCATGAAGTTTCTTACTTCATCACTTCTCAGCTAGATGGAATTGTTGAATAGAAGACCAGAGTGATACAAGAGTCGGCTCGAGTTATGCTTCATGCTAAGCAATTGCCATTGGAATTTTGGAATGAAGGTATGAATACTGAGTGCTACATCTATAATAGGTTCATATTGAGAGGAAATACTTCAATTATTGTGTATGAGTTATAGAAAGGAAGGAAACATATAGTCAAACACTTGCATACATTTGGTAGTAAATGCCATGTAATGAATGACAAAGATCAAATAACTCCTATAAGTGATGAAGGGATATTCTCTGGGTACTCTTCAAGCAGCAGAGCTTATAGAGTTTTTAACTAAAGAATTATAATGATTATGAAATCTATCAGTGTTGTAATAGATGACTCAATTACTGAGCAAGGGATAGATGTTGAGAACAATGTAGGAACATCCTCCGTGCAAACTAAAGAAGAAGAAAGATGAAATCTTTCTAGCATTGTGCCAGATGACCCTCAAGTCACTTCAGATCTCCCAGTTAGAGTTCAGGCAGAACTATCCAAGGAACTCGTTGCAAGACACCCTGTCTCTAAGCTTGAACTAAGGATGAGTCCTATTATTCAAGAAAATAAGAGCTTGAGTTGCATCATTAGATCAAGTGGTTATGGCGTGTTCTACTCTCACAACAATAGTAACCTGATGAAAGAATTATACAATGCTAATGAATGTGAATTTGAGAACATAAGCAGTGGGCTAGATACTTGTCCCATGAAGAATTTATAGCAATAACAGGTATGTAGGAATGCAACAACTATTGTATCTTTCCTCTATTCTCTGAGTCATAATAAGCCTAAGAATGTTGTCATTATTAAGGGATGGAACAAAAGATCTCTGCAAGATAAAAAAGGTTGTTTTGAAAAAGACAAGTTTTAAGGTTGTGGTAAGAAAGTTAAGTGTCAACATTCCTAAAACATGTGACAACAATAACAAGTGCAGAAGGATCTTTGACAGGGAAAGAGGTGGAAAAGTACCTGAAGTTGACCAAGAATATGTGTTTCCACCAAGTGATGTGTGCTTCCATTTCCTTGTGTATTCCTAAATACACTGTGTCTGAA